AGGAGGTGAGGGAGGCAGGTCAGGAGGAGGGTACCATCCCACGACTGTACTTGCACGTGCTGCCTCAGGTAGAGTCTATTGTGAAGGGAAACGTGGAAACTCTTTGAAAATACCCCAATTATTTTATGAGGAATATAATTATATTGCTTTGGGTGCATATTAAATTTGCCAATTTGTTAAATGGCAATATTTAATATATGTGTCCTGATTTGTCACCTTATGTGCATATACCTGGAGGCTCAAAATAAAAGGGAAGCAAAAACACAGAGGAAAAAAAATCTGCATTTCTCTCTGAGAGAGCCTCTGAGGAAAGAGAGAAGAATGAGAGGCAAGAACAAAGATAGCAGATCAAAAAAGAGGAGGACAGATCTTTCTTTCGTGTGTGGACAGAGAGCTGTGGTTGTGTTTCTTCATGGTCTTTTTGCTCTCCTTGTTTCTCCCCCCAACAAAATAAAATGCCCCGTGTTTCTCATTGCCCAGCTCAACCCTGCTTAGCTCGCATAAATTAAAATGTGCCGAGCAGCTGTGGCTCCACAGCTGTCCCAAGGGCTCCTACAGTCAGACACCCAGGGCAAAGTCTGCCCACTCTGTGACTTCACATAGGACCTTGCAAGGATTTCTTTTATTGACCAAATCAGTGAGTTCTAAAAGGACTTAACATTCCTCTCCAGACATGCACAGCTATTCAACCTACAGCTCTGCCCCACAGGTTTCCCCAGAGACCATTTGGATAATGAACTGGCGCCGTTCCCGTTGACTCATCTGTCCCCAGTGTTTCACAGAAATGCTTGACTAGTCTAGAAACTCGAGCTTCTAATCCCAGGTCTGCTTTGCACCAGTTGAGTTGGGTTTTTGGTTTTTTGTTTTGTTTTGTTTTAACCCTCTGAAAATATAAGGATTCAATTAGACCATCTAAAAAGCTGTTCTGTGAATGTAAACGTTAGAGCACCGTGGTTTTCATCATCTGCTCTGCAGTATTTATATCTAAAGGTGTGGTGTCTGGAGGAAAAAGCACATTGAATGGACACGTGCCCTTGGGTAGGCTTTCAGCACAGGGAGTGGGCAGCCCAGCAATGTCTGTCTCCATGCTGGACAGCTTGAGAACCTCTAGCTGCTCAGTCAATGGGGCTACATGCCTCGGCAGTACGGATCTAGACTGTAGAAGATTCCTGGAGAGCACCTAGTTCCTCCTTTGTCTTCAGACCATGTTGGAACCCAAACAAGCTCTCAACATCAGCTGAGAATGAGTGACATTCCCTAAAAACCAGTGGGAAGGAAGCAAAGCCCCACAGTCTCCACCCCGCTCATCTATGGGCCAGTGTGGAGGCACCACCCACTCTCAGGGGCGGGGGAGGGTCCTTCCACCCTAGCTAATCCTTCATGAAAAAAACCCAATAGATGCCTACCTCTTAGCTGAGTCCAGATCCAATCAGGCTGATGATCGGGAGTAATGATCACAGATGCAAAAGCCTCATCCCAGGTGCTCTGGTGTGTGAGTATCTGGTGTCAACATTTCTAAGGCAGTCTCACATCTAGACAAATGTGGACTCCTTGCTTTTTTAAACATTAGAAGCCTGTTTTCACTTGGTATGTCAGTACCGAGGAATGGGGCCTGTGGGAAAATTGAAGGGCATGCACATTTATGAGTATTAAGGAACCTGTGCAAATTTCTCATCAGAACCTAACCCCGTCCTAGGTTATCATGATGAGAGTTTTGTAAGTCTGAACCTTGCCATGGCTTATGTGTGGAGATTAGGATTGCTTGCTCACACACACCCGGTCACATCAAGTGCTCACACTCACACTTAGTCACATCAAGTGCTCACACACACTTGGTCATGTCATAGGAGGCTTGCTTGTGAGCCCTGACCAGCTGCGGGTCTTCCCACTGGAATGTTACTCCACAAAGAAACAACACAAGCCATATTCCTCCAGAAGCAGATTTTGTTGAGTAGAAGACGTAAAGATAAGACCGGCATCTGGCAGAGGATGCTCTCAGAACAGTGCTTAACAAGAAATAGGAAATATAATGTAGCTGCCTATCTCTGTGGATGTATGCTGCCCATGGCTAATATCCAAGGCAAATGTTTTGGATGTTCAATTGGCTTCTGAATGCAGCCATCAGCAGGGTGATTGCAGCATGATTCTTAGAGACCGCACATATTTAGGAGGTAAAGGTGGTTTCTTCTGAATGAATGGTGAAGGTCTGTTGATTATCAACAGAAGCCTTTAACAAACGGTAAAGGAAATTTTTCCAGAAGAAATCTAGTCCACTTTAAGCAAACTATGTCTTATTGAACAGGGAAACAGGATAACTGTAGCTATTAATATTCCACAGCATCCTTTTTGTTTTAACATTTTCTCAACCAGTAGTCACTGTTCACAGAGACAGGAGAAGCTGTGTGCCTCCAACACACCATACTCTTGGTTTGGTTGTCTTTCTTGTTAGCACGCTGGGAGAAGACAACATATTTCTTTTATAAATATGACACAAAAACTTCCTGCACCAGGGACTGGCTATAGTCCTTCAAATCTAAGGAATTAATCAAGACTTTTATTTTTTCTCTCAGTTATTCTCCCTATAGTATATCACTGTGCATATCACGACTGGCAAATCAATAATATTTAATGATGATTATATTAGCAACATTAATAACAGATTTTAATTCTTTTTTGCAGCTAAATCAATTCCCTTGTGCAAAAAAGAGATTATTTGTAATTGCACATTGACTCACAAAATTTTCCAATTATTTCAGAACAGACTTTCCATACTTCCACTGTGACACAGTAAATAAATAAGGCCTCTGAATGTGACAGATGGGCTGTCCCCTCTCAGCTCCTAAGGACAGTGTTCTTTGATCTTAGTCATAAGCTTAGAGGGGCTAAGGATCTGACCCTTCACTCCTCAAGTTGAGCAAAGAGCTTCTCCAGCATGGGAGTGGGCTTTAGGCCACACTCTTCTTGGTAATTCCGGTCTGCGTTTCTAGCTTTCCTTTGTGTCTGTACAGAGCACTGTCTCCGTGTTTATCGAGATCCCAGTAAACAGAAACGCGCATGCCTACTTGTGAAGCTGCACTTCAAAGCGTGCTTCGGCCCCTGGCTTTGTATCTTCCCACTCAGGACTCTGAGAATCCTCGGCTTCTAGGCTCTGGCTGGAAAGGAAGCGATGGCAGGTGGAGGAGAGCTGTCCTGGCCTCCACTGAGCAGGGTTGGCTCAGGAGGAGGATCTCTACTCATAGACGTGCAGGAATTAGTCACATGACTCCACCGGGATCTGACAAGGCAGAAGAGCCCCAGTGGAGTCCCAGGACTCCAGGAGGAGTGACACTTTCCACTGTAGCTTAAGAAGAATGGGAGCGATGTGGGTGTCGCGGGGGAAGGGGATATCGCAACCACACCAACATAAAACAAACTGCACCCTCTCCTAAAGACAGCACGGGATCCTGTCATTAGAGAATTCTAGATTCAATGTCGGCATTTCTGATGTTATTAAAATATCACCTTTACAAAGGCAAATACTCGGAATCTGTCTAAGTTTCTAGCCAACTGTTTTTGGTTCCCCAAACCCCTCGTTCCAGCCTCTAACAGCCCGCATCCCTCACTGGGTGCCTGACAGGGCTCCTGGGGACAATATTATTTTGTCACAGGGGACTTGGGTGCAGCACACAGATATCTCCAGGTAGTGCAGAACGCTTCTTTGTTCAACCCTGCCCAATCAGCTGGTGTGTAAGAACCGGTTCTGGATCCATGGTCCCTGGAGGAAATAAAAGGTACCCAATTGTAACCTCTCAAAAAACCAAGAACACCCTTTCTGGTTTGGGTGAGGGTGAATTCTACCGCCCCCCATGATTGAAGTTTATTCCTTTCCCACACCCATTCAGGGCAGGGGGTCCTGCTAAGGCAGCCTCTGGGAATTCTTGGGACCCAGTGCTTTCGGCTTGGGGACCCCAGGTTGCACTTTGTGCTGATGGTCTGGATGGGAAGTGTGTCTAAAGATCTCACTGGGATGTCTGCGGGTCTGGGCATGCGCATCCCCTCCACCTGTGTCTCACTGGGATGTCTGCTGGTCTGGGGCATGCGCATCCTCTCCACCTGTGTCTCACTGGGATGTCTGGGGGTCTGGGGCATGCGCATCCTCTCCACCTGTGTCTCACTGGGATGTCTGGGGGTCTGGGGCATGCACATCCTCTCCACCTGTATCTCACTGGCAGAACTGGGTGATATGGCCAGATCCTGTGGCCGGGGAAATGGAAGTGTTCTCTGGTGGTCATTCTAGCAGGGAAAGCAGGCAGACCAGGCAGGGTCTGGTCACAACAGCCACACCAATTAAATAGACACACACTTATTTAAACATTAGATAGGTATTCCCAGAACACAAAGCACATTGAGGATAACTTAAAACTCTTATTTTTTTCCTATACAGACAGTTGTTTTATTTATAGCAGTTGATTATTTGCTGAAAGCTGCCACACATGGGTAATAGTAATAGAAAAGACATACAATTTTGTTCATCTGAATGTTGCAATCCTGTAGATGGCTTCTACGGTGATTTGAGTTGGTTTTGTCCTTCAAAAACTTCATCTTTGAGGGCTTGGCTTGTGGACAGTCAGGGTTCTGAGAGACACAGCCTTCTGAGGCACCCATACCTCTCCCCACCCCCACTCCCTCATTCCTCCTTTTCTGCCATGCCCTTCCCTTCTTCTTCCCCTTGGCAGATGTCATTCCCATCCGCCATGGCTTGAAACAGGTAAGAAAGCCTTGACAAGAATGAGCCGAGCCAGCATCATGCCCTTGAAGCTCTGAAATCCAGCCAAATAAGCCATCTCCTTATAAAGTCAGTGCTTCAAGTACTTCATTATAACAATGGAAAACACTAATATATTCAATTTGACGTGGTTGTTAGTGATATTGTATTGTTTACCTCAATTTTTTAGTAAGGCTGGAAATTCTGAAACATACATTGAGGATTTTGGTTAACACAAAAATACGTATCACTTTGCTGAGAATTTTCACGTAAATCATTTATTCACATGGATGCATTGGCTGAAACACAGCTTGTCTTTCCAGCATTAACTCCCTAAACTATGCACTTTTTACAATCTTTCCAGTTAGTTTTCCCTTAAAATAAAAGAGCAAGTTTGAAACTCTGTCTTTTAAGATTGTTTCTCCCACATCTACTTTGACATCTAATTTGACAGTCATTTCTTAAAAGTATGCAATTCAATGGCTCTGATACATCCATGCAATTGTGTAACTCTGTCTACAGGCCAATTTTAGAAACTCCATCACTCCCCAAGGAAACCCTGCATGCATTAGCAGCCACTGTCCCTGCCCCCTGCCCCTGGTTCCTGCAGCTGCAGGTCCACAGGTCCACTTTGTTCCCATAGATTGCCCTGTTCTGTGATCCTTTGACCCAAGTCTCTAACCCTGGATGTCTGCATAGTTTCTATAGCTTCATTGTTGCCAACGGTCCCTCATGATATAATTACAGTTTCTATGTTTCATTTGGTCACATTGTCTTTTTTCTTTCTCTGATTCTTGTCTCGTTCAGAATGTTTTTGAACTCACAGATGAAGTGTATTTACCATTCGTAAAATGGTGTTTTGAAGTCTGTGTGTGTTGTAGAAATGGCTGAGCTGAATCAGGCAGTGGGTATCTTGCCTACACTAATGAGTTTTGAGAGGAGCCCTGAACATGTTCATCCTTCTCTAGCCCTGCTGCCATCACCGTGGCCTGCACTAGATCCCCGGGACTTACTCCTAGTCACTACAATACTGAACTCTGGCGTCTCTCCAGCTTCTCACCTCACCATCTGCCCTGTCTAAGAATTAAATCTTTTGAATTCTAACTATGGGTATGATTGTGTGATATCTGGTTTCCTGAGCATTACCTATTTCACCTAAAATGTTTATGGTCATTCATGTTGTCACATATTAAGCATTTTCCATCTCAGGCTGAACAATGTTTTGTTAGATATATATTAGATTAATACAAGAATTAGAAAAAAGGATTGATGTACATTTCTGAAGGGGGCTGGAAAGATGGCTGAGCTGTTTGGGGTACATAAAAACTTCATGGTTTCCCATTCTCCCACCTCAATTCTTGGTCTTATTTCCAGGCTGATAATTAGAATCAGAATCCTTCTGCCTCAGACTCCGGGGTTCTAGGATACACATCATTGTCTTTATTTATCATTCGATGAACACTTGTTTGATTCCACATACCAGTTATTGTGAGTCATGCTACAGTGGGCATTGCAGATAAGAAATTACTTATTCTGATGAAGATTTTCTAAGCCATGGATTTTTTTTGTCAGCTTGCTTTCTGTTGTCACAATAAAGACCACAGTCAAGAGCAAACAGAGAGGGAATAGATTCATTTGGTTGTCAGGGCAGGAACTCAAGCAGGAGATGCAGAGGCCATGGAGGGTTGCTGTCCTAGCTTTCTCCCCGTGGCTTGTTCATCCAGCCTTGTTATACAATCCAGGACCATCTTCCCAGGGATGACATCACCCACAGTAATCGTTATCAAGAAAATGCCCCACAGATTTGCCTACAGGCCTGTGGGTATGGAGGCGTTTTCTCGATTGTATTTCCTCTTCTTGGTGACTCTAGCCTGTGTTGAGCTGACAAAAAAAATCAGTATAAATGTTAAATCAAATCTTTATATTAAAAAATGTAACTTATTTATGAAAACAACATATAATCACCACCTGGAATTAGCTATAGGCAGGTCTGTGGGGGAGCTTGTCAGTCAATGATTGATGCAAGAGAGTGAAGTCCACTGTGGGTGGTGCCACGCCCTTGTCAAGTGGTCCTGGGTCATCTGAAAAAAGAAAAAGGCAGCTGAGAAAGGCAGGGTGGGAAAGTCAGGAAGCAGTGTTCGAGCAATGCCTCTGCTTCAATTCCTTCCTTCAGGGGTCTTCCTTGAATTTCTCAACGGTGGGCTGTGGTCATGGTAGGTATTCCAAATAAACCCTCTGCCACCACATTGATTTTGGTCAGTGTTTTTATCACAGCAAAAATGAGGACAGAGCACTTGGTGTGCCTGTGGAGGACCCTGGTGTGATTTTCGGTACACAAACAGAGCAGCTCACAACCACCTGTCACTCCAGTCCCAGGAGATGTGACGCCCTCTTCCGCCCTCCATGGCCATCTGCATACCGTCGGTACACAAACGTGTTTGAAGGCACTCAAACATAAAAGGAGTGCGTCTTTTATAAAATACTGATTTCTGACTGATGTGTGCATTATGAGCAAACAATTATGGTCGCTATTAGTCCTTTGAAATGTGTTGAGGCTCTCTACAGTAGCATCGTGAGTTGTTAGCGATATTCCAGGTGTAGTAGAAAAGCGTGTATGACAGAGTATTGGGTTGTGATATCCTTGTCGTTATGACAGAGTTTATTGGATAACGATATCCTTGTCGTTACTACTAAGCAGTTCGCTGGGCAGCTTCGAGAAATCTTCCTTCAACCCTGGCTGACTCATCTGTCAGCTGTGGGTAACTTTACATTTAGGTATGCCATTATGGAAGCCACGGACAGCTTTAGCCTGACAACAGACTTCCACATGCACTCCTTAACGAGCAGACGAACACATGACTCTGGAGGTTAGAAGCAAGGTCAGACGTGGGTGTAGGAGTCTTGGCATTTAGGAGTCTTGGCGTTTGGATAGACGCTCAGATGAAGAGACCAGGGAAAACATCCCAACCTTGGGATGGTCTGGAACATATCAGCTGGAGGGGCAACGAGGAGGGGCAGAAACGAAAGTCTTCAGCTGATGGGGCGTGGCGTCTGGGCATCCGTGGTGCGTACAGGGAGCAAGCGTCCACCAGCTCCTGGCATCCAGGGGGCTGGGAGGCTGGTATTTGAAGATGGAGGTTTCTGTCCCACCCGGTTCCCCTGGTTTAGCCCCAAACAAACACACGGACAACACTATACTAATTAGTAAACCGTTTGGCTAATGGCTCAGGCTTCTTATTGCCTACCTCTCTCTTAATTATTAACCCGTTTCTATTCATGTACGTATAGCCACGAGGCTGTGGCTTACCCGGAATCCCGGCTTGTTACTCCTTTGGCAGCATGGCCTCTCTTTTCCACCCCCCTCAGTCTCATCTCCCCTGCCTTCTCCTCGTGTCGGGTAGCCCCTCCTGTAGTCCCTGCCTGGCTACTGGCCAATCAGTGTGCTATCCATCAACCAATAGGAGACTCGTATGTACAGAAGGACGTCCCCCATCAGATGTTTGCAGTCAAGGGCTGAGGAGGGCGGGGACTTGGCTTTCCTTTTCTCCACTGTCTTTTGCTTCACCGCCCCACCCCTCAGCCTTGCATCTTGTCCTCACTGTAAAACCTGCCAGGCAGTGTCTTCTGGAAGACTGGAGAGGGAGCAGAACAAGCCCATTGGCACCAACGGTCCTGGTCCGAAATCCAAAGACCTCCCCCTCCTTTTCAAGCTGAACGCCATGAACACAGCGTCCCCCCCCCGCCTCCTCCTATCCTCTGGTGGGCAGCTGTCCTCCCTCATCTTACTCTCTCTAGTTGGCATCCCCCACCCCGTATTTTCTTTCCCCTGGTGGGCAGCTGTCCTCATCTTCCCTTTAGTGGACGCCTCCCATGGTCTCCTTCCCTCTAGTGGGGCCTTTCCCGGAATTTTCTCAGGGCTAGAAATGACAAGCTTCGTGTTTCCTTGTCATTTCCCGTCCTGTGTCATTTTACTCCTTTCCTAGCCCCAGGATCAGAGTGTGTTCCTTACTCTTTGGACCACGGATGTAGTTCAGCGAGCCGACGCCCAGCCCGTGTGAGGTCCAGGGACTGAATCCTGGCACCACGGGCAGGAAGCTGCTCTGTCCCACACGGATGGAAAAGAAACAGGGGCTGCGGGGGCTTAGGGGGTTTACCGTCACGGTGCTCATCATGGTTACCTTGTGGGGAGGGAGTTTGTCAGTCTTCCCTGCTGGCCCTTTGGATGTGCTTTGGAGAAAAATGGATGCAGGCGATGAGTCTGCAGGGAGCATGAAACAGGACAGTTGAACAGTCCAGACCGTAGAAGGTGAAGGGACAGGAGGGACAGAAGCAAAGGTCTTCAGCTCACAGGAGGGGGTACCCACCTATCAATGCTACAGGGAGTTTGGAAACACCTATACAGAGTCTTTGGTGCTCACAGCTGGTGATATCCTCAGCAGGGAAGGGCGTGTTCTGCTGCAATGAGGTTGATGGGAAAGTGTTGTTCTCTAATCTACAAGGGCAGTGCCCCTGCTCTGTGTCCTGGATTTGCCCTGGGCCCTCCCTTGTCTATGTCTCTGCTTCCTGGGTAGCAAGGCCGCAGGTTAAGGAACAGACACAGGAACCTGCACCTTCCTACCTAGCTCCAGCTTTTCTACGCCGTTCCTGGCTGTGGTTAAAAGGCTGTAACAAGGAATCGAGCAGAGCTCTTTCCCAATTCCATCTTCCCAAGGGTAGACCTCACAGTGACCCACCCTCCTGCTAACTGCGCTCCAGGGCTGGCCTGTGAGTGGGGTGCGGTGAGGCTGTGCAGGGAAATGAGAGTCCGGATGCAGCTGGCTGACACACACTGGATGAGGTGGGATCAGGACAGGAGGAGGGGGCAGTGGACTGTGAATGAAACTGCATCAAGCCATCAAACTCCAGCAAGGAGACGTTCAGGGACTCAAGTTCAAAACCCGCTGTCTTGACCGGGGGGGGGGGGGGGGTAGGAAGTCAGAGCCGTTTTCAATTAACATTTTATTAGATCGATTCGCAGACTGTAAATATTTAACCATGTTGTTTGCCACACTCTGGGTCTCATGGATGCTAGGGATGTAGATACAAGTTGTTGGGGCTCTCTAGTTAGGCTGATGTGGAGATAAGTAACATTATAAATCAATGCTTATGAATCTAGGATCCAAGCCACTGGGAAGCAAAGCTCTAGCTGTCGGTTTTTAGCCAGGCACAGTGAATTACTTTGCTCCAGAGACCTTCCACATGCCTCCACCACACAGCGCAGATCTGCCAACCGGGCCAGCAACCTCCAACTGGCTTTTATTTTTTAACTGTGCGTCCCTGCTACCTGGCTGGGACTCTTCTGTCATTTACCTGCCTTCCTCTTGTCCTCAACAGTGAGCTGGAATGTTCCATCCTACCAGCTCCTTTATGTTCCTCCAACAGCAAAGCCCTGCCACAGAGCCTGAGTCCTGGTCATCTCTGGTGTACCCATGTCCCACCCCGCCTGCTCAGAGATCACTGTCACTGTTGTTGAATGACTTAGAGAGCAGGCTCTGATCCTCGCAGCACCTGGCATGCAGGCTTTAGCCAGGGATGGTGTACTGAATGTGAGCAGGCGCCTTCTCCCTCCTTTGTATTCTGTCTAGGCCGACTGATTTGAATTTCTAAGAAAGGTATGGGAGCCATCTTCCCATAAATCTTTCAGAGACACTAGAGTAGATGCGAGATCACAGTTGGCTCTGATTGGAGCTTGCTAACCTGGTTAGGGGGAAGAAAGAGATGGATGAAGAAAACAGCTCAGGATGAAAACAGAAACCGGCACCGTCAGCGAGGCTGAGGAGCTCGGAGTCCACAGGCGCAGTGAGGGGGAGGCAGAGAAACTGTGAGGGTGGGGATTCTCTCAGGACCTCGAAATGGGAATTCTGCTTTTGTTTTCTCTGCCCTGCCTTAGTCCTTATTTTCAGAATTCAAGGCCATCTTGGAGGTGATCTCCACTGTCTCTCTGCACCCTCCCTCGGTACAGCTGTCACCCTGTCGACGGTGCCTATGTATGTCTAGCTCATGCAACTTTCAAATACCTCTCTACACTGCCCTGCAAAAGAATGGTGGTCATTTCACTGTGTCCCCCCCCCCCCAGGACCACAGTGGAGCCAACAACCCCGCGATAATGGGCATTGCTTATTGCAGTAACTTTCCTGACTGTTAACTGTAGCATGGGTGATAGAAACCCTGAGACAGATATTGGGGTTCAAGCTGAAGACCAGAGACGCGAAACAGCCAAGCCTCTAGAGAGTTCTCGCCTCTGCCAATTCTCAGAACGAAGAATGTCAGATTGCATCTCCAGACTGCGCTGCTCTCCACCAGGCCACAGAATCCTGGACTGCTCTCTGAGACGGCACTGAGCTCCTTGTATTCTCTCTGGTGCTGGGATTAAAGGCGTGAGCTCCGTTACTCTTTTAGACTGATTTACTCTCATGTAGCCCTGGTGGCCTTGATGGATCTCACAGAGATTCCATCTGCCTCTGTCTCCTGAGTCCTGGGATTAAAGGTGTGTGCCACCACTCCCCAGCTTCTATGACTGTGGCTAGCTTTGCATTCTGATCCTTCAGGTAAGCTTTATTAAATCATAAGCAATGTGTCACCACAATTCCCCTTTTTTGTCTCATACGAACAAGGAGGCTACAACTAATATAAGAAAAACTATATATAATAAGTATATTCAAAACTTATCACCAAAACAGTAAATTAATCTCATTATGAACTTACCTGGGTTTTTTAATGCATGTACATATATTCATTGTGCACACATATGTGTGTATTCATTATATATGTGCATTCAGTCATGTGCACACATGTACGTATTATGCACATATGTAGAAGCCAGAGGTCAGCATCGGATAACTTCCTCTTTCTCACTCCATCTTATTTCCAGAAACATGGTCTCACTGGGCCCGGAACTCACTGATTGGACTAGGCAGGCCAGCCCACAAGCTCAGAGATCCTGTGCTGGCTCCCCAGCGCTGGGATTACAGGCTTGTGGTACCACACTCGTGGTGCTAGCATTGGAATTCAGGTGTTCGTGTTTAAGTGGCAAAGACTTTGTCAAATGAGCCGTCTCCAGGCTCCTGGGCTTTTGCTGTTGTTGCTAATTTTTTTTTTTTATTATAACTGCAGAGCGCCTGTTTGGTTTGCACTCTTTGACTATTATCACAGACAATATGGCTGAAAAAGTCAGTCAGTGTCGTGCCCAGAGCTACACTGGGGGGGGGGGGGAGGGGCAGGATCTCAGGACAGCGTGCTCCCACAACTCAAGTCAAATGAAATGAGCAAGGTGACCTCAGATACCAGGAGACCACGCCCCTTTCAAACTGGTGGGGAGGAAATGTGCTGGGGTGGAGGGTGAGCCAGAAAGGAGCATCAGGAAAATAGCCATGCGAACAACTGCAGGTAAACAAATTTGCAGACGTCAGGAAAGTAGCACTGCGGACAAATGCAGGTAAACAAATTTGTGTGCAGTTTTATGTGTGGGAGAATCGGGAAGGTTTCTTCCTGAGACCTTGGGCAGCTTACCTGTCTGAGCATCGAGATTTTGATGTTCTGATACAGTTTTGGATATAAAGAAACCACAACAAGAGACATCATGGAGACAGTATTCAAAGAGACCTCAGCATTTTGTGTGAATGGTTTCTATCTTAGGGAAGTTCGATAAGGAACCCTGCGAAGTTCTGCCCTTGTGATAAAGAAGTTTGTATCATCAAATATGCACATGTAGTAGTGATGAGGGCATGTCCCGTATGCTGTTAATGTATGTTTCTCTTATTGGTTGGTAGCCAGGCAGGAAGCATAGGCAGGGCTACCAGACTAGGAGAATCCTGGGGGAGAGGACTCAGAGGAACCAGCAGGGAAATACCACGTAGATGCTGAAGGAGTAACAGGCCCGGGTGTTCTCTGGTAAGATGAGGCCATGTGGAAACACCTAGATTAGTAGCTATGGGCTAGTAATTAAGAGGAAGCTAGCCAGTAAGAAGCCATCGGCCAAACAGTTTATGATTAGCATAAGCCTCTGTGTGCTTATTTGGGACTAGAGGGTTGAGGGAACAGGCAGAACAGAAACTCTGTCTACATAGTAGTTTTTATAGCCACACCTAGAATAGAGACAACAGAACGTCTTATAAAAATGTACCAGTTTTAAGTGTCACTGCCCGAGTTTCATTAAGGAAATGACACAAATGTGACTTCCAAAGAATGTATCTTTAGCTTTAATTTGCATATATTGCTATCAAGGGTAACTGGGTGGAAAGTTATAGGTCCTTGGGAAATATAGCCAACTGGTAAAATTGGCCAGAATGTGGCGAGCTATTTCTAGGACTAGCTAACAGGAGTTAGCCAGAAGTGTATCACACTGGTACAGAGCCTGTTGGAGAAATGCCTGCATTTGGAGGCAGGTCAACTTGATCTTTCCAAAGTACACATTTTGGAGATAAACTACCTGCAATGCAATCTGCCCCTTATGAGGTAGGTCTTTTGGTGCCTTGGTTTCCCCATCTGTAAAATGGGGTGCAGGCAGTACCCATTTCAAATAGTAGTTGCAAGGACTAAACCAGCACATTAGTGCTCTGGAGACTAAGTGATTCTTAGACTTTAGACATCGTACTCATGGAGGTACATTTGCTGTCACTGTTGTAGAAGAAATGCATCTCAGTTGGATGATCAACACAGGACCTTCCTCCTCTGAGATCTCATGATCCTACATTTCTACATACCATTCCTGAAAGGGTTAAAAAATAAAACTACTGTAACAGTGAATGAGGTATTATATATATATATGTATATATATACATACATAACTTATATATATATATATATCAGTAACAGACCATAGTTCCTCGTTCTCTAAAACCTCTTTGCATTTTTTTTGAACAGTAATAAACAACACGTCTCAACAACCATTTGAACAATTACTCCCGGGAGAAATAACGACCCAAATTCAGCCCTGGGAAACTGGGGACAGCCAGGACACAGATGAGTGGGAGAGAGGGACTTAAATCAAACTGCATATGACGAGTTTGGTGTGCAGAGTGAAAGGCGGTGCCCTGGGCCATGGGCAGAGTTCCCTCTGCTGTGACTGCTGCCCCTCCTCAGGAGGACAGCCTCAAGGGGTCTCTTTACAGTAGGCAAGGCGGCGGGTCTTGGTTGCAAAGGCTCCCTTGGCCATTGTTCCAGCCGCTGTCTATTCCCTAGCACACTCCTGTCTGAGTCTCCTCCTAGAATGCCCATTCAGGCATCCTCAGCATCCAAGCGCGACACTGACCAGGGTGAACCCCATCGCTTTGGTGCTTTGCGCCTGTTTCCAAGGGAGGCTGGTGGCCGCCCAAGGACACTGCTTAAAATGCAGTGTAGTTCTGG